ATTTAAAAATTGTCAAAGTTGAAATTTATAATAAAAACATAGTAAGTGGACTCAAACTTTTGGAAGCAACCGTAGATCCAGAATATCAAACAACAGAATAAAAGCTTATATAATATAGTCTGTGACTTTATATGCAGAAATAAGATTAAAATTCTAGAAAAGTATTTCAAGCCCTTAAGATTCCAACAATAATAACACAAGAAGCCATTGGTAAATATTGTAAAAAAATAAAAAAGATCTTTAAGAAGAAAGTCTAGAACAAGTATTGTAGTATTAATATTGAATGAAAATAAAATTAAGGAATTATTAGCAAACTTAAAAAGTTTAGAGTATTAATTGATACAATTAGAAGAATTGATCAAATTCCTAAAAAAACCAATCACTCTCCTATTTTTTCTTTCAGAAATGTAACAAAAGAAGAAAAAGACTTGGAACAAATAAAGTTTCAAGATAATATAGTAGATATAATAAGTAGTTGAATATCCAAAGGTTTTAAATAGTTTAGTTTTTAATTACAATTAGAACTTCAAGAGATTTATAATAATAAGTTGTAAGTAATAATCTAAGTGGTTAAAGAATAATCCAAGTCATAAAGAGAACAAAATATTATCCTCTAAGTTGTATCTAAAAAAGGTTAAACTTTGTAGACAGGTGTGTCAATATGTGAAAATCATAGATTATGTAAATATCAAAATATATTTATAATAAAATGGACAAGTCATATTGGTCTAATTGTGAGTTAAAAAAAAAAAATAAAATAAAATTTTTAAATAATTTAAAATATAAATTATAAAATTTAATAAAGTTATTTAAAAATTAATTGTAATCTATAACTTTAAAATTTAATATATATATAAATATAAATAAACTATATTGATTTATTTAAAAAAATTATTATAACTTTTATAATTATAAATTTTATAATATTATAGTTTATATATAATTTTGAAATTCCATAGGATTTTTTTCAAATCAAATTAAAATATATATATATCATTTATTCATATTTACCAAGATACTTGACCATGATTCGATTCGAATCAGCTTCGCATTCAGAAAAATAATTTTTATCTTTTAACAAACAAATTCTTTGTAGTATTACGTAATATTTGTTTGATCACAATATTTGTTATATGCATGATACGTAACACGTGACTGATATCGCTCGCCCTCGTTTTCACGTGCATGGTCAGTGCATTGTATATATAAACATAACATTTCGAGATATCAACATGTTTTTAATTTAGTCTTGCTAAAATCAGTCAACAGGTTCATTATCACATGACCAAAAAATCGGTGTCATGGTTTCGTGTTGTATATCAGAGAAGCCATCTATGTATCTTTATGCTTTGATCAGAAGAATCTTGCTCAAGAACTTCATGAGCAATTCGGGAAATTCGTAAATTTATTTTAGGGACACGTGATTCTGTTCTTGAATCGTTTATTGAGTAGATAGGGTGCGAAGTGTATATTGGCGCATTCTTACGTATTTTTGTTTTTTTTTTTTGGTAATGCACACCATTCAGCCACATATATAATTGGTTTCGGGATAATGAATAACATTCTTCCGGTTCCCTCCGGCTATTTAAAGTAGTTAGTTATGTTGTATGATGTGAACTCGGAGTCCGGATTTTTTTGAGCTTTTTTGAGTGAATGAATGCAAAATTGAAATTGAAATTGCGCGCTCACAATTAACGCGTCTTTTCAAAAATAGGATATTGATAATGTGCACGCAAAAGTTGGACAAATGTTATAACAGTTGCAATGAGGGTTTTTAGGCAGATATTGTGGGACGGTAACAAACCGTATGACAAGGAGACCCATTCCTTATAAAGTTTTGCGATTCCACCAACATTTCATAAGCTTGCCATAAAAATATTCATCTCTCTTACACTTTCCAACTTGCAAAAGAAAATCTGAATGTGAATGAACCTTTCGTGCGACAAAAATATTAACGCCAATTCAATCGTTGTCTTATTTTTAGATAGAAGCCTACGATTCTTGTGACTATTTATTAGAGAATTAATTGTAAGGCTCGAGAAATTTGCGCATCTTCATGGGCGACCCCATTTTTCCCTGCATATTTGTTCTTCCATCAGAGGAACCAGTTAAAGAAGAAAGCCGCAAAGTATTAATAAACATTTTACCTTTTTGCGATAGTATGCAGATATACTAGTGTCGTACATAAATGTTTATAAGTATTTGGATAAATTGCTGTATTCTTATCCAATAAGCGTTGCAAAGTTTTTAATGTGTAACAATGTAGCTTTACGTATTACTTTATTACCTTGAAATTAATTCTATGCAATGGTAAATATCTCAACCTTAATCTTGTGCCGTATAATACTGAGTAAACAAACGCATCTCTTTGACGACAATAGGCCAGGAACGCATACGCACATACGCATCGTTCTTTCCATACATCGCAGACATTGTTTTTTTTTTTGGTTTTTGGTTTTTTTCATTATATATTTAAGTTCATATACATTTATACGCATTTAAATTATCCACCACGCAAGTTCGCTTCGGTTTTCTTCTTCGCATACATCCTGCTTTATTTGTTAGCATATACTGTAGTTATTATTTATTGTTATGCATGCTTTCACGTTTTGAAAGAAAAACTCAATTAAGCTAGTTGGAAATTTCAGCAAGATTAAAATATTTTTTCATTTATCCCCTCGTAACAACATAGGCTATGCTGCCTTCTAATGCTTTAAAGCGCACGCGCATTTCCGAAACAGACGAACACCACTATTTACCATCTCAACTGCAAAGTTTCCAACAACACCAGCAGCAAACACAACAACTCTTCAAGCCCCCTCAACAGAATAAAATGGAAAGACAGTTATACCAACAACCGCAACAACAGCAGCAGCAACAGCAAAAACCACAACAACAAAAACAACAACAAAAGCAACATCAGCAACAGCAAAATCAATTATTTGAAGACTTTAGTTCCCCCCTCCAAAAATTTCCCGTGACTCCTCCAAATATAGAATCTCTATCTGCCAAACGGTCTAATGAGTCCGAAGAGCCTATAACCGAGCAAGAGGTTCAGCGAATCGAGAAAGTAGTCAATGCCTTGATAGAATCAATACTCCCCGCAAAAGCCCAGCAGGCGAAGGACGTTGCCACGAATATTATCAATAATTCTCTTTCTTCGCGCTCTGCAAACTCTTCTCCAACACCCAAGGATAAAACTGATAGCAATGAAAACGAAAATTCAATCGTCCTCAAGTTTCCAATACTCGCTGAACCGAGCTCAGAGGTGAAGCCATTGAATTCTCCTTTGGGAAATGTTCTCAATCACACATTTCCCAATTCATTGGTGGAACTGGTGGAAAAACTTAACAAGATGTCGATTAATCCAGCTAGCCTAGAGCTTTTAAATCCAAATTCAAATGTTTCCTCGACTTCCGCATTTCCAACAAACAATCCGTCCTCTCAATCCTCCTCTTCCGTACCACCACCACCCCCCTCCGAAGAACTTATCAGGCAACTGATTAATGATTATTTTAATCGCTTCAATGTTATGATTCCTATCATCGATCGACGAAAATTCCAAGACCAACTTACCAAGAATAAATCGAATCATACAACGTTGCTGATGAATTCAGTCTTAGCTGTTGCTGCAAGGTTTTCCGACGATCCCTCAATACAAAAAAGCCCTGAAAAACCGGGCGGAATATTTTTTGACGCTGCAAAGGTAACTGATGTCACGTTTTAATTGTATTCGAGTGAAACGGTTCAATCTCATCCGAATAAATGCCTCTGTGAAAATCTTAGAAACTGTTGGATGACATGTATGACACTCCAAAGTTGGAAACTCTTCAGGCATTGTTGCTCTTAAGTAGCTCCGAGGTTAGTGTGAAACGTATAAATAGTTCTACCATATTCCTCGGCATGGCTGGTGAGTTGATATTGATATTATTGTACTAGTGTTCTTGTCTTATTTAATTCTTATTTACCATTCCTATAATTTCGCAGTTCAAATGGCCCACTCGTTAAACCTTGGACGTAGTGAATCCACCTTGTTGACTGAGGAAGAAGAAGAAAATCGAAGGGTGTTTTATTGCCTTTATTGTTGTGATAGGTATGATTTATCACATTGGGAACCTTTAAAATACCTTCTTTCTCTTTTTGGAACAATTTAATTGACAGGCAATCACAATTCCCATTGTAAGATGGGTTTCATTCATGTTAGGAAAACCTTCCTTGATTGACGACATCAACATCAACACTCCTTTGCCGACATTAACCTCATTCGAAGTTTCAACAAGGAGCTTCTTCGTTTCATGGATAAAATTATCACGTATTCTTGGCGAAATTTGGAAATTCGGTTACTCTTCGAAACCAAAAGCCAGCAGCGCAAATTGGCTGCCACATATGGCTGACCAAAAGAGTACGTTGAGGCTGATACGGGCGGCTTTGGCTAAATGGTTAAAGGAGTTGCCTGATGAACTACAATATCAGTATTTACCGAATACTGACCCACAAAGTTTGATTCAATTGACAAAATTTTCCGATTTTTCCGGTAAGTCATCTTTTTGTGATTGGCTCGAGTTTTTGTAACCAAATGAGCTTGTTTATTCATTATTATTTGTTTTTTAGGTCATATAAACATTCTCTTCCACATTTGCATGATAGTGCTTCATCAACCTTACTTAGCGCAAACAAAAATTGAGGTTCAAAATCAGGGACCTAATGGTCCAATTCACATGTGCTTTACTGCTGCCACCACGATAACCGATATTGCGAAGACGACACGAAAATATGATAAGGACGCATTTTGCAACTTTCAATACACCCTTTACGGACTTTTACAAGCGTCGTCAATTCTTGGAATGACAATCATGAATTATGCACATGAGTATGAATCTACCGCGAAGAAAGCTCTACGTGATGCTATAGAAGAACTTAAGTACGCCGCGGAATCTTGTAAATATATGTCCATGCAAGAGGTAGTTAGGGAGTTAGAGGGTGTCATGAGGATCGCAAGTAGCAACTCTTCCGATATTGCAATTCCATTTCCTCTGGTTCTACAAATTTTGGAATCCAGGGGTTCAGCAAATAATGGTGGGGGGTTCGGAAATGTTTCGTTAAGAAATATGAATGGAGTGGGTCATGGTTTCGGTAATCACAATAAACAAACTTCGCCGCCCATGAGCGAATATTCATCGTCGCCGAACTCGTCAAATGCACAGGATGATGATAATTCTTTGAAATTGAAGTATCCTTCACCACCCACTCTCACGACAAACTCAACTCCGATGTCACTATCTCCGTCTTTATCACAACAACAGGCCGATCCAAGTACGTTTATTTTTAACACGCAAGATCAGGCGTCAATACAATTTAATCAGATGGATCAACAGATGACGCAGGATGCAGTTGGAGCGTGGAACCATCCATTTTTCATAAACGATGGTTTATACGAATTCCAAATGGCCGCCAATTCACAGATATCAACCAATTCAATGTATTCCCCAAGCATTATTGCGAATGTACGTAATAATAATTCGAATAACTAACAGATGATGGCGTGAGAACTTCATGATATTAAAATAATTCGTAATCGATGAACGGACTTTCCGATATATAAAAATGATTCGAAAATGGAAGGACTCTAATATTAAAATAATTTTTTAGGGATGGGAATTAAAAAAAAGTTATCGGAATGCGGTTATTCGGGGTCTGGGTTGAACTGATGTATGCCGGGTAATCATTTTTGAAGGCGACAAAAACGCGAAGTAGATTTGAATAAAAAAAAATCCAAATACGGGTGTCGATTCTGGGTCCATAAAGCTTTTTGTCATCTTCAAAAATAATTGTCCACTTCTCACTAGAATTACTTGACAACTACATAACTACGTCTTACTTCTGTTGAAGTCTCGAAAGTCAATTTCTAAGAAATCACCTGACATACTTTTCAAAAGGAAACTTTATTACTAACCATGCCCAAATAAGTATATTACGAATACCCAGTAAAATTCAGTATGACGTAACCCTAGGTTCAATTAGAATTCGTCACAGCAAGTTTTACGGTGTAACAAGGATGAAACTATGTTATATTATGAATAATAAATACAGTAAAAACTTGATCCGGATATTCATTTTCCCCTTTTAATTAAAATAGTATCCATATCTTGAGAATAGTGAAAAGTAATGGTGACAAGTAATTGTGTAGAAGCAGCAATAGCAGATATAGAGATATTGAATTGATTGATATTCATTCAGGTTCTAGAGTATATTCAAATGGAAGTATGTGTTATTCTTAAAATCCTTTTACTATCAAGCATAAAAGATTTCAAAAATGTTTATATTGAAAATTAATGAACAAACTTTAATTAATTAAAAACTAAAAGAGTTATCTTTATTCAAGTCAAAAAAGCACTTGTATTTATATATATTTTCAATACATATATAATTTTTTTTTTTAAAAAAAAAATATTGACTCAGCCTTACTTTATTTATATATGTGTAGCATCATTATATAGAGTGACTATCCTAAAATATACTATCTGTTTTTTATCAAATAAAATTCAATAAAGATATCTTCTTTTTTGAAGTATTTATCTTATGACTTGTTGTCACTCCTTATAAGGGAACTAATTTATTAAGTGTGAGTTAGTATTAAAATAATTTTCAAATATAAAAGAGTTATCTATAATATTTATAAGTTATTGATTCATGAAGTCATGTTACAATTTTTATTAGTGATATACCTATACATTTATATAAGGTAATTGCCTTGGCTTAGCTATTTATATTACTTTTTGTATATAAATAGACAATATATATACTAACAAGTACTTATACATCTGCTTATATTAGTAATCAATATCAGGAAATTTTTTAGGCAAAGATCTCCAGAGGACTTTCGGCGTTGTTAAAAGTCTCCGGAGTAAAAGTTATATATATGATTTCCAGAGATAATCGAAAAAATTTTTGAAAATCTCTGGATATTATATTAAAAATTTTTAATATAATCTCTGGAGATTTTTGAAGATTTTTAAATATAATTTTTTTTTTTTTTAATTAACCCTCTGTCAGGCTAGTTGCGTGCGCTTTATTAAACAAAAGTAAGCTATACATTTA